GAAAGGTAAAAAAAAAAAACTCCAAAACCCCCACAACAACAACAACAACAAAAAAACTAGAGGTCCCTGACAGTAACATTTGACTAATTAGAATTTCCTTATTCTAGATTTTAGCCTGGACTCTGTCTACTGATCCTTGGGGGGATTAATGAGGTGAAGGGGTTTTAGCAAGAGATTAGGAGCAAACTTGTCAACAGCTGCTTCGGAAAACCAAACTCTCATCTCTCTCCTGGTAGATTCCCAAGTAAATGATGACTCAACCAGAAAGTGCTTTTGTAGCAAATATTCACTGAACACATACAGTGTGTGAGAGCTCCAGGAGAGTAAAGCATACCTTCCAGGAGCTTATAATATTTAGTTGGAGACAAGACTCTACTAGTGCTGTCCTCTCTACCATTCATGAAACTTTGCTAGAGAGAGCTATTTTTATAAGCTACCTCATGTCCTTTCTTCAAATAGGGCATCCACAAGTAGATGACAGAAGGAAATAAAGTGCCACACTTCTTGTAGGCATGCACAAGGCTAAACTACATTCATGCCATAAATATTTATTGAGCACTTACTATGTGCCAGGCACAGTTTGGGCACAGAAGCAAATCAAAGAGACCAAAGTTCTGCCCTCAGGGAGCATCTGCTGGAATGGAGGACCAGCTCAGGAACAGAGGGGAGGAAGGGCTGCCCAGAATGGCAGGTATGGGCTCATATACATCATGCCACCAGACTACAGAAGATCACTTGCTGTGACTTTGCTATGATTGTACTTAGTGAGCCTTCTAATAAATGGTGGGGAAGGAAGTGTTGACTCATCACTGAAGGTGGGGTCATGTACTAGAAATGTAATGTCTCCTGCCCTAAACCCTTAATGCTGCCTGACTACTCCATTTTTTTTCTTTAATGCCAATTCCATGCTCTCTTTAGATGTCAACAGTGCCCTCGGGGGACAAGATGCCAGAATATACTGCCAGATGGCATTTGTCTGTGTTTTAATCAAAATGCTCCATTCTCTTTGCCACAATGTGAAGCAGTAACATACTGTGCAGAGTGGAGACAAGAAACAGCACAGAAGCTTGTAGTAGCTTTTTAGGTTTGTGAGGTCAGGAAATGTACCCGAAGGCTGGATCGGCTTAATTCTTTTAACGTCTGTGGCAGCACCACGGTTGTGGGAACCAAGCCTCCCACAGTCAGCAGTGAGCAGATTCTGGGAGGCAAAGTCCGGATGTGTGGAGACAAGTGGGGTTCTGTGAGATGGTGAATGAGGGAAAGAGCCCAGATGGCGGTTTCCCATGTCTCCACCTCCCCTTTTTGGGCAGAGGGCTTACATCGTCTCGTCCAGGTTTTCTGATCATTTAATGAAACACTATTATCCTGTTTTAAAGATGAAGAAACTGTGGTTCAGAGTTTAGCTAACTTAGCAAACCCAAGAGCTAACTTTAATGAGTTTGTACTATGTGCCGTGAGTAATCTTTTTGATTCTCTCAACATCCTTATGGATTAGGTGTTATTACCCTTATTGTAGAGAATGAGAAATTGAGGCTTAAGAAGGATTAAGTAACCTGCTCAAAGGTAGAGAGCTGGTAGGTTGTGGAGCTTGGATTCAAACCAGCCAGCCTAACTCTGGGGTTCTGTATCTTGCTTTTGACTTCATAGGAGCAAGGCAATCAGATGGGGGCTCTGAGGATTCATCTGAAGCTCATGCTCCAACAATGTTACCTCCTTAACAGGAGGGCCCCTTAGCAGCAGCCCTCAGATGATGCAGGGAAGAGAGATCCAACTACTCTTAGGTAACCCTCCAGTAACCTGTCACTAACACATGAGGCCTCTGGAGGTCCCACTGCACATGTCTCAGTGGAAATTGTTTACTTGGTAAACATTATTTAATGCTTCTATGTGCCAGGCACTCTTCTAAGCACACTGTTAATATTAACACATTCATCCTCATACCAAGCAACCCAATGTGATGGGCACTTAAATTACTTCAGTTATATAGGTGGGGAAACTAAGCACAGAGGTCTGAGCTAGGTTACAGCTAGAAAGTGATAAGGCTTGAAAGTAGTCAGCCTGATTACAGAGTCTATGCTTTTAAGCATAGCCAAATGCACTTCTGAACATCCTTAGGGAAAAGCATTCCACTCATTTTCAAATGTACATATTCCATATACATGTGTGTATATATGTGTGTGTACACACACACACACACATTCACATATCCCCTTTGAAGATGGTGGCTTATAACAGGTCAAGAAATTGCTTTTTCCTGGGATGAAAAGCTTCACAAGGAATGATTCTCCATTGAGAAGCTTGGGCAAGGTATCAGCTGAAACAAAGCTGGTTCCTTTTGGGAAATTTCTCAAACTTGACTCAGAAACCTCCCAATAACACCCATCATGGAACCTGGTAGACATATCAATGTGAGATCTCCTATCATAACCATTTGATGGAGTTTGGACGTGTTGTCCTCCCAAAATCCATGTGGAAGTGTGATCCCCAATGTGGCAGTGTTGGGGGCTGTTTGAGTCGTGGGGGCGGATCCCTCATGAATGGATTAATGCTCCCCTGGTGGGGTAGGGGAGTAGTGAGTTCTCTCTTTATTAGTTCCCCTGAGAGCTGGTTGTTTAAAAGACCCTGGCACCTCCCCTTCCTCTCTCTCTTCCTTCTCCTCACCTTGTGATCTCTGTACCCACCAGCTGCCTGCTGCTTTCTGCCATGAGTAGAAGCAGCCTGAGACCTGTGCCAAATGTAGGTGTCCCAGAATTATAAGCAAATAAACCTCTGTTCTTTATAAATTACCCAGTTTAAGGTATTCTGTTACAGCAACATGAAACGGACTAACACAGAAAATTGGTACCAGAGAAGTGGGGTGCTGCTTATAATAAGTACTTGAAATTGTGGAAGCAGCTTTGGAACTGGGTAGTGGGCAAAGGCTGGAGGAATTTGGAGGAACAGGCTAGAAAAAGCCTGGAGGCTGGTGAAAATTTAGAAGACAAGAAAACCATGTAAAGTTTGGAACTTTTTAGAGACTGGTTAAATGGTAGTGAGCAGAATGCTGATAGAAATATGGACAGCAAAGGCCATATCGAGGAGGTCTCAGATGTAAATGAGAAGGGACTTATTGGAAATTAAGTCAAAGATCACCCTTGCTATAAACTGGCAAGGAACTTGGCAGCATTGTGTCCATGCCCTAGGACTTAGTGGAAGTTGGAACTTAAGAGTTGTGAACCAGAGGATTTGGAAGAAATTTCTAAGCAGCAAAGCATTAAGGAAGCTGCATGGCTACTTTTAACAGCCTATGCTAAGTTATGGTGGCAAAGGCATGATATAAAGCCAGAATTTAAAAGAGAAGCAGAGTGTAAAGATCTGGAAAATTTTCCACCTGGCCATGTGGTATAGAAGCAGCCTGAGGCCCATACCCAGTGCAGTTGTTCCAGAATCATGAGCCAAATAAACCTCTTTTCTTTATAAATTACCCCATCTCAGGTATTCTGTTATAGCAACACAAAATGGACTAACACATCATTCTTCTCAAACTGATGTTTTAGAAGCACTTCACATCTTTAAAACTGTTGCTTATCATTACAGCTCCTCTGTAATTCACTGATGAAATATTTTTGAGCACCCAAATGTGCCAAACACTGGGATACAGCAGTGAAAATTGATAAGATTTCTGCTCCCACAGAGTGCTGTGGGGATGAGGAGGACACAATTAACTGGCAATTTCAGCACGGGTAGTACAGGTCAGGAGGAAAGTACAGAAGCTGTGGGAACACTGGGGCTGGGGATGTGGGCATGTGACCTTGACTGGGTACAGGAGGCTGCCCAGTGTCTCTAAGAGCAACCGCTGCACAGTAGTTCAGGTAGCGCCTCCTGGGATGCACTGCCCACCAAGCTGGTATCTGAGGAATGGATAGGAATTAGTCAAGTGAAGGGAGGGTTTGGGGTGGGCGTGTCCTGAGCAAAGAGAAGAGACTCAAGAGTTGAGAGCTAAAATGAGATTCTTCGGAGAACAGATTTCGGGAGACAAGGCCTGGAGCAGAAAGATGATGGGAGGCCTTTGATTTTGTCCGGGTAAGAGATGAAGGGAGGAAGGGATGCATTTGGGAGGTTAGTAAGAATAGATGGAGAGAGTATAGGGAGAAGGAAGAGTCAATGATGATTTTTTTTTTTTGTCCTTTTTGTGACCGGCCGCACCGCGCTCAACCAGTGAGCAAACCGGCCATCCCTATATAGGATCCGAACCCGCGGTGGAAGCGCTGCTGCGCTCCCAGCGCCGCACTCTCCCGAGTGCGCCACGGGCTCGGCCCGATGATTTTTAATTTTCCGATTTAGGTTTACCTGCCACAGCCCAGCAATCCCTTTTGTGGTTCCTTGTGTTTTCAAGATAACCCCAGGAGCGCAGACCTTCCCACCTCCAGGGGCGGACGTGACTCATCAACCAGGGTGTAATGAACATTCACCCCAGCCCTTGTCATTGGTGAAATCTAAAGCTCTCAAGGTGAGGAAGAAGCTCAGGCCTGGTGTGTAGGGAAAAGGTTTCGCTAACGGCTCTACCGTTGGCGTCTGTTCACAAGTCCCTTACAACCTCGCGAAAGGTGAACTGCAACTATCGTTTCCCGACTGTACAGAGGAGACCAGGTCTGTGTGAACCTTGTCCGAGTCACGTACTCTGCCCACGAGGTGAACGTGAGGCCCAAGCCCCGCGCCGTGATTCCAAGTTCCCTTGCTGGGCACGGTGGGCCCACCCAGTGATTCCCGGACTCTCCGGCATTCGGTTAAGGCCACCGTGCCCTACCTAGAGCTCGCTTAGTGTCTAACACATCCGGCACCCACAGGAAGGGATTACGTTAGGGTTCTTTCTCTCTTAAAAAAGTTCCTGTCTCCCCGTAGAGCCGGGCACACGCCTCCCGAGCCACACCACGTGTCGCAGGTACAACGTTTCTGGCTCTTCGCCTCCCCGGTTCCATTCCCCCTTCCTCTCGTCCTTAGGTGGCAGGAAAATCCTTTACCTCCGACCAATCCCACTGATGCCAAGTCGCGCGCGCGCGCGCCAACTCGAGCTCCTTCTGTGCACGTCATTGGTCACCTCCACCTTTGCAGAGTGACAGGCAGCTTCGCGGACCTATTGTCGGAGGAGGCGGAGGCCACTTGGCCCGCCCAAAGCTGCTTTGTTAGGGGCTCCCTCGCGATTCCCCGGCTCGCCGCACCCCTACTGCCTTCCCGCGATCTCCCCCGGCCGTGCCGCCGGAGCCTCGTGGGGAGGCATCCCCGGAGCGCGTGACGCCCGCATCCCTCCAGCAGCGCGCTCGGGCCGGGATGCAGCTCGGGTACCCGGCGTGCGCCTGTTGTCACTCTCCAGCCCAACTCTGAACGCCCCGCTCCTGTATTAGCCGTCTCTGATTGGCTAGCCGGAGGCGGAGCGATTGTCAGGAGGCCCAATCGGAGCTCGGTTTCCCACGGGCTCCTACGGCCCCGCCCCCGAGGCCGCCGGCGGAGGCGGTCTGACAGCTCCCATTGGCAGAGCGGCCAGCGGCCCAGAGCACAGCCCGGCAGAGCAGCGCCGCCGCCGTCGGGCGCGCAGCTCTGCAGCGCCGCGAACGCCTCGGCGACCGCAGCCCCGGGAGCCCGCGGCCCCGCATTGTGCCCGGCGCGATCGCCGAGATCCGGGACGAACGTGGCGGGGGAGTCTGCATAATCCATAAAATAGAAGCACCAACCAGCTCTACTGGCATCTCAGTGAAGCACTTGGGAAATAATTTCTGCCATTTTCTCTGCCCCTAACTCCTCTCCACTGAAAAGGAAGCTATAAAGACAGATGAGAGGAACGCCTCGGCGACTGCAGCCCCGGGAGCCTGCGGCCCCGCATTGTGCCCGGCGCGATCGCCGAGATCCGGGACGAACGTGGCGGGTGAGTCCCGCGGACCTGGGGGCGCGGGCCAGCTTGCCGGAGCCGCCCCGAGGGACGGTGGTGAGGATGCCGGAGCTGCTGTGCCCGTGACGGGCACGTCCTGACCCCCCGTCTCCTGCACACCGGGGCTCCCGGAGGGTCCTAGCTCCCCCCGATTGGGCTTTACTCGTATTGTATTCGTGTGCACACATTTGGGAGGTGGGGTGATCTGGGGGGGAGGCGAGAGAAGACAGGAGGGGGACGAGACAGCGGAGCCCAGGTGCTCGGCCTCGAATAAAAGTGACACTGTCCGGGCGTTGGCATTCGCTCTTCCCGGCGGCAGGAGGTCAGCGCTGACCTGCGGCGGCGGCGGCACTTTGTATTTATCGGCGATTTTTATCAACTTCAGGGAGGGCGTGCGTGTTCGTGCCTGGGTCTATGCATGTGTCTCGGTCCCTGACTTGAGCACCTTCGGGCCTGGCTTTTCGGCATCGCTGCCTGAATGCTCGCCTTGGCGATCCATGCCGCCCTCAGGGCCGGGTACTCCGGGCAGAGTCCGGGGGCTGCTGGCACACCGGGCGGCGGACCCGCGGCGGGCCCAGGATAGGGCATTTAAAGCTGAATCCTGCGTGTGCGCAGACAATGACTTGTCCGGGCGGCGAGGGTTCCCGGGAGCTGTGCGTTGGGTCCCCAAGTCCCATCTCATTCCTGTCCCCAGCTCTGCCGCTCCGATGCTGCTGCGCCGCGCCGCCCGCCACCCGGCTGGAGACCCGCGTGGGGCCCGCTTTTGTTTACAGACCTCGCCATTGGGCGAGAGCTGCGCCCCCCCTCCTCGCCTCCGGCCCCAGCCGCTGCCGCGTGCCCCTCCGAGCCGGGAGAAGTTGGTGCGCGCTGTCAGGTGACGCCCCCTCCCCCGGCTTCGGCGCGAGATGCTGCAGGGAAAAGACGCTGTCTCGGCGCCTTCGCGCCCAGCCCCCGCCGCCTGCAGCGCCTGCAGGTCCCCTGCACGCCGAGGAGCCGGCATCCCGGCCTGGGGCCATTAGCTTGACAGCCGTCGGGGCACTGACCCGGCTACGCTCACCCCCTTCCCGTCGCATCCTGTGGTATTGCCTCGGGGCAGCCCAGGTGGACTCAGAGCCTGCCTTTTCCTGCGTGTAGGCAGGTCTTGAAGGACGCGCTCGAGCCCTTGGGGACACTGTGTAGTCCGGGCCCGCTTCGGTGGAAGCCACGCGGCCTCGCGGAGCGGCTGTGCGGCATCGCTGAGGCAGAGCGGTCGCGATCGGGTTACCTGTGTATGCTGACTTGGCACACACTGTGTTTGAGCTGGAGCAGAGGTTGAGAGCCTGGGCGCCGAGGTGAAAACAACAACAACCCCCCCGCCCCGTTCCAGTACTTGCCCAGTGTCACTCACGAGCCAGGTGATTCTGGCCGAGTTACTTAATCTCCCTGAATCTCGGTTTGCGCGTCTGTGAAGTGGGGATAATGAGTGTAAAGGACTGTATAGATTAGTTGCATAGCGCAGCGACGGGCACATGTGAAACGCTGGAGTAAGGCTGATTCTCTGCTGGAGGAAATCTTGTAGAAGATGGCCCCATGTTGCCTCCCTTTTTTGCGTCCTCCACTCCCCCAGGTCCCATTTTATTTTAAAAGGCATGAAGGACTGCTGTTTTCAGCTTCAAACAGGACTTGTTTTACTTGGCCTTAGATTTAATTACACTTATCTAATCTCTCGGAGCTCCTTTTTATGTGTTTGAATTTCCATTAGGTTTTAGTTCTTCCTTCTTCCTCAAGACCGGGCTGAGGCCGGTATCTGGGCTTGGAGGAGGAAAACCCGTCCAGGTGGGAAGCAGTTGCCGGTGAACCAATGGCTGCCCTGCAAAATGGTTAACGCCGGGATGGAGGGAGGTTTGAACAAAGTGATATCTGGAGGCTGGCAGGGAGCGCTTCCCAGGAGAGGTGAAATTTAACCTGTGTCTTGTAGCAGAAGTCTGGCAGATCGCAGGCTTTCAGAATATGCTCTTTTGTGTCTCAAGGTAAAGAGCTCTGCGAGGGAGGGTGCTTTTCAGTAGTAAACACCAAAGCTGCTAAGTAATTATCTTTGGATGGAGCAGAAATAAACTTAAGGAGGAGGCTGTTGACTAAGCGTGAAGATGGAAGAGTTGAATTGATTTCATTGAATATCTTCAAAATGCTGTCAATGTGTTTTGACTTGATTTTCCTCTGCTCCACTAAGTCTGCACTGGTTATTTTCTTTGGGCAAAAAGAGAAGCCAGTTTCTTTTAAACCTCCCTCAATCCCCTCCATTCCCCCCC